AGGGTCTCAGGGGCCGACCTGGGGTGGAGGTGGGGCTACAAGCTGGAACTAGGGGCGGAACTCTAGGCAGGGGCGGAGCCTGGGGTTGGTGCTCTTACGGGGAGCAGTGCCTTTTCGAGAGGATTGGGTTAGGGGGCTGAGGGGACAGGGCCCAGTGGGAGGTTGGGTGGAGAGGTCAGAGCTTCTCAAGAATGGGTGACAGGCTTAGTAGGGGCGGAGGCTTTGTCTCTGACTCTCTGGTGCCCCCCGCAGGCTGCGGGCTGAACTACCACAAGCGCTGCGCCTTCAGCATCCCCAACAACTGCAGTGGGGCCCGAAAGCGGCGCCTGTCATCCACGTCTCTGGCCAGTGGCCATTCGGTGCGCCTTGGCACCTCCGAGTCCCTGCCCTGTATGGCTGACGAGCTGGTGAGGGGCTGGCGAGTGGGGCGGGTTGTTGGTGGCCTGGGGGTGACGGGGCCCAAGCATGGGGACAACGTACTGATGTTTTCCTCCTACTGTCGCCTTCAGAGCGGTAGCACCACCGAGCTCCTGCCTCGCCGTCCCCCGTCGTCCTCCTCCTCCTCTTCTGTCTCCTCCTACACAGGCCGCCCCATAGAGCTGGACAAGATGCTGCTCTCCAAGGTCAAGGTGCCCCACACCTTCCTCATCCACAGCTACACACGGCCCACCGTTTGCCAGGCTTGTAAGAAACTCCTCAAGGGCCTCTTCCGGCAGGGCCTGCAGTGCAAAGGTTCGTGGGGCCCGACTGGGAGGACAGACGCGCTCAGAACCTCCCCCTCCCCCTAATCTGGGCTTGTGGCGGGACACAGCAATCTCAGCACAGGTGTTCTCATCCTTAGGAGCACAGGGCCTCAGAACGGGAGTTTCCTGAATCCTGGTACTCTGGAACCTTTGGAATTCTGAAATCTTAGAACTTCAGTCTTTAGAACCTTGGACTCTTACTACCTTAGAAATCTAGATTCGTAAGGCACTTAGCATTGAATTCTAAAACTGTAGCGCGTGAGAATTCTAGAATCAGAGAACCAAAGAAACAGGATTCAAGAATTCTGGAATCAATGGGGGGGGGGGCAGAAAAAAAAGTTTGGAAAAAAAAAAGAATTCTGGAATCATATTAACCTGAAGCAGCCCAGGTGGGAAAAAAAGAAGAAAAAAAAAGGAAAAAAAAAAAGAAGAATTTTGGAATCATAGAATTCAGCTAAAATAACCAAAGAACTTTAGGCCATAATCTTAGAACTACTGAGTTATAGATTCTCAGAACATTCAAATTATAGAACCATGGGATTTGAGAATACCAGAAGCCTAAAAGCATCAAATTTGAGAGTCTTAGAAGTCTAGAATGATGTAATCTTAGAACCATCAAGTCCTAGAATCTTGTAAATCTAGACTCCCAGAACTTTGAACAATCAGATTCTAGAATTTTAGAATCTAGGGCTAATGAACCATAGAGATATCAAATCCTATGATCTTAGATATATAGGATCCTAGAACCTTGGAAGGTCATTGGATTCCAGAGGCATAGAAGTCTAGAATTGTAGAATTGTCAATTTTTTGAGTTTAGATATATGAAATCCTTAAACCTTGGACATTAAAGAGTCTTAGAAGTCTAGAATCATAGACCTGCAGAATCACTGATGTATAGAGTTCTAGAAACTTGAACATTAAACTCTGGAGCCTTAATCTAGAATCATAGAATCTTGAAAAAAATAGGTTTTTAGCAAACTCTAGAATTTTTGATATCTAGTGTCCTAGAACCTTGGAGTCATCAAACTCTAGAGCAATCGTTCTCAGCCAGGGGCAGTTTTGCCCCACAGGATGTTTGGCAATGGTTGGAGACATTTTTATTTGTCACGCCGGGTGGGTGCGACTGGCATCTAGTGGCTGGAGGTCAGGGATGCTGCTAAACACCCTACAATGCACAGAACAGCCCCCTACAACATGGAATTATCCAGCCCAAAATGTTAATAGTGCCAAAGGTTGAGGACCCCAGCCCTAGAGTCTAGAGTCATAGAATGCTAGAATACATTCTGGATTTTGGAGTCTAAGTTAATGGAAACTTATAGTGTTAGAACCTTAGAGTCATAGATATATTGAGTGTAGCCCAAAGTATGTCTACTTAATCTAGTGTCCCCATAGTTGAGGAACAGTGGCTCAAAGGGAGAAAAGGACCAGGGAAGGGAGAGCCTAATTTTCTGACCCATACAGCAAAAGCAAACTCTTTTGAGCCTGAGGGTTAGGGATCAAGGTTCAACCCTTACAGGTGACCTCCCTTCCCCCTTGTTCCCTGTCCTCCTACCAGACTGCAAGTTTAACTGTCACAAACGCTGTGCCACCCGAGTCCCTAACGACTGCCTGGGGGAGGCTCTCATCAATGGAGGTAAGAGGCTGGGGGGCCTCAGAGGAAAGGGCCAGGGCAGGACTGGGAAGTGGCCCCTCTTATGCCCCTGTCCCCGCAGATGTGCCGATGGAGGAGGCCACCGATTTCAGCGAGGCTGACAAGAGTGCCCTCATGGATGAGTCAGATGACTCCGGTGTCATCCCGGGCTCCCACTCGGAGAACGCCCTCCACGCCAGCGAGGAGGAGGAAGGCGAGGGTGGCAAAGCCCAGAGGTACCCACGGGATACTCCCAGAGGCCCCAGGGAAGCCCCTTTCCCTACAGCAAACCTCAACTTCCTCATCTCTACAATGGGCTGACAGCTCCTTATATTGTAGATTTTTCCAGTTCCTGAGGCAAACTTTTCAAAGCACCAAAACTTGAACCTTTTTTCCTGATGTATTTTATTTTTAAGTTTTAATAGAAGTATATTTTAACTTGTATTTCTGGGGGGCTGGTAATACAGTCATTCAAAAGATACATAGTGAAACCCTTCCTGTTTCCCAGCTGCCCCACTCCTCTCCCTGGAGGAAGCCACTGGGATCAGTTTCTTATGGGTCCTTCCAGAAACAGTCTCTATTGCAGCCTGTCCTATGAGGAGTAAGAGCATGGACTCTGGAACCAGGCTGCTGCCTTAGTCAAGAGACTAACCTCTCTGGGACTCAGTTTCCGCATCAGTAAAATGGGGATACAGTAGTGCCTACTTTATAGGGTTGTTGTGAAGATTATATGAATTAATACAGTACCTAAAACACTGCCGGGTACACAACAAGTGTTAAATAAGTGTTATATTTTATCACTAATTATCAAAAAATAATAATAATAAAAAAAAATTAGCCAGGTGTGGTGGCGTGCGCCTGTAGTCCCAGCTGTTCAGGAGGCTGAGGCGGGAGGATCACTGGAGCCCAGGAGTTGAAGGTTACAGTGAGCTATGACCACACCACTGCATTCCAGCCTGGGTGACAGAGACCCTGTCTCCAAGAAAACAAAAAAGAGTCCCCTTGTCCCCTTCCTTACTGTGGGAAGTCTGGGGGGAGGGGAGTGGCAAAAAAACAAAACAAAATAAAACGAAAAACCCAACTAACTGGCTGCCCAGAGATGCATCCTGCGGCCCCAGGCAGGCAGTATGGTCATTTTCTGCTTGTGACTTCTTACCCCTTCCTCTACCCTCCTCCCCGCCCCCCGCAGCTCCCTGGGGTACATCCCCCTAATGAGGGTGGTGCAGTCAGTGCGTCACACGACACGGAAATCGAGCACTACCCTGCGCGAGGGTTGGGTGGTTCATTACAGCAATAAGGACACGCTGGTGAGTGGGCCCGGGCGGGGCCGGGTGCAGCGCAGCTAGAGCTAGTTAGAAGCGGGAGGGGGGC